CCCCAAAACCCCAAAACCCCAAAACCCCAAAACCCCTTAGTTACTGGTTAATGTTGAAACTTAAAAAATTGTCAACTAAAATCATAATGATAGATAAATTACTTGCCAAATTTGGATTTAGTTTCCATATTCTAAACTATTACGGATACTTTCACGAGGTCATCATCTTGGTCACCTCACTAAACAAGAAGCTTGCAGCTGAATATAAGAAGAATAAGCACATTTATAGAGAGAACTGTATTCTGAAGATTATTGAGTAAGTATCTTCTATTTCTCCTTCAAAGGAGTTAAAGTGCTTTGATGTTACAATAACTTATTTCGAGACTTTAGCATAAAAACTGACCTTTCTTTCATGTGATAAATACAAATTCATACTTTGTTTTATAATAGAGTGACTTATTCCTTTATAGCATGATGTATCCTTACACACAATATAAGAAGGAATATATGAAATTTTACAAATTAAGAGTTACGCTTAATTACAATGAAGAGATCCGAGATTTCTTTTGCTTTTGCAGATATTTTCACAGCCTCAACAAAGAAAGCGGAGACGATGCCAATCATAAGCCTGTTGAGAATATAACATTATCTGGCTCAGCTTCAGTTAAGCTTCATAAGTTCAATATCTTGCAGACAAAATTAGTATCATATCCTTTCACACTCTAATCAACTACTCAAACCTCGTCACACCTTCAAACTATCCACCACCATCTAACAATCGCTCACTAGAGACATGAATCTTCACCTTCCTAGAAGAAGCAAAGGAATTTAGGCAAAAGAGGTTGCATCAAGGAGTGATTTTTGGACATTTGGTGGTGGATTTTGAAGCTGGTGGAGAGAAAGCGGAGGAGAGGTTTGAGAATGGGCTGTGGAAAGTGAGAGCGAGGTCTTTGAAGACTACTTTCTTGTTGGGGGATAAGATGCTTGGGGATTATTTGTTGGGTAATGTGAGGCTTAGGAATAGGTTTTTGAAGAAGAGTCAGATTTTAATAGTTGATACTACTTCTCGTCATCCTGAGATCTTGTGGGCTAGGGCGTTTGAAAATATGCTGTATGAATATGATAAGCCAATTGCACCTAAGATGAAAGAATTCAGGCTTGTTATGAGGGATAAGTTTATTTTCTGAGCATTTCTGGAGGCATTATCCAAGCTAGGCCCAGAGAGATTATATGAGTGCAACCCTTCTCTTGATTTTCTTGTGTTTGAGTTTGTATATATCACCAAATTGAACCTTCTAGTCGTTGATCCTTGAATGAAGTACTCTGAAGACATTCTCTCTATCAGTCTGAACTATAAGGAGACTAAGACGACATACAAAATTATTTCTAAAACAGCTCCTGAGTTTAGTTGGGATAAGCACAAGGACTCAAGTAACCTTATCAGAAGGCTCAAGCTCAGTAGGATTTATGATGTTGAGAAGCATGAGATGGAGATTCCTTAAGTTACATTCTAGGAGATGAATCTTAAAATTAATTTTTTGAACAATATCTTTTTAAATTTTACAAAATCAGCCAGCCACTAATTTTCAATCTTAAATTCTCTTATGGGGTTTTGGGGTTTTGGGGTTTTGGGGTTTTGGGG